GGCATAAAGTATCAGTTCAGTTTTCTACAACAGTAGCATAGTTCACTGCACCCTAGAGGTTTTTTTGTGACAGCTTCCTATTTAAAGCTTTTTTTATAATTCAGGTAATATAAAAATTACTTCAGACCTAAAACAGAAGGGTATTTTATTTTGTGAATGAATTAAAACCAGTAAGTCAGAAGAGAAGTTAAAGAGTAAAACAATAAATAAAAGTACTCTCTCTTGTATTTTTTCCAGTTGCATAATTCAAAGGTAATTCTGACTTCATATTGAACTGGATGGACATTATTCATTAATATAGGCTAAGGATGGGATACAACATCATGATGAAGACACCTAGCCCTGGTTATCTACAAACAGGTGTCTTCAGGCACAGCAATGCTCAATGCACTGCCTAAGTACAGTTTCTCACTGACATCTGAGGTGTCCTGTAGCATATGGAACGCCTGGATGGGGCTCACAGAATATGACCAATAAGCTATAAGAAATTATGTTCCTATAGCGTGGCAGCTGGAGGCCAGACAGTAAACTCTAGAGCATCTCAAACGACACTCTACATCAACATTCAAGCAACCGGACAGGCTGTTTAACATCTCATTATAAATCAATAGAGACGTCACCAGCATCATCAGTGGAGTTTGGAGATGAATTCTTCAATTCTCTCTAAAGTAGACACCTAGTTGCCAGTGAGGTGAATTACTGTATATAGACATACAAATTCAATCTCCTTAATCTCAACCTGAGTCCCACCACAAATGTCTTCAAATATATTTTTTACTTTCATCAATCACAGCATAGTTCTAACATTCAAATAGAAACAACTGGGCCTTGTATGACCCAAATAAATTAACAGAAGTTACATTATTCCTCTTCTTCAGTGATTCTCACGCAAAAACATACTCAAGTGGCTTCTTGTTTTCCCCCCCAATTAAAGATGCATGTCAAACAAGTAAATGCTCATTTTCTTCACAGGAGAATTACTACAGACAAAAGGAAACTCAGTGCTCATCAGCAGAACAGTGCTCTAGTGCCTCCAGAAGGTAAACAAGAAGTATCTGGACTTTGCTCTGGATCACTTCTTCTCCACTCACCTATCTATGTTAACATTTTAGTGCAAATCAGAAGCACGCATTTTACCGACTCCCCTAATCGTCCCCACTTAACTTCAATAACAACCAACACCCCTATGGCAATGCTGAAGAAAACCATCTTACCCACAAGCTACAAAGCATTTGTAGAGACTACATCATAAATTAAGTTTAATTTGCAACCATCAAGAAACAAATTAACAAAAACAGTGTTTCCAAGCGAAAGGGTTTATTTTCTTTTATCTTTTGCTTCATTTTGTCTTAAGGAAAAATTAGGGGCATAAACAGTGATGATAGCAACACATTCATCAACTTCACAATTTCTTGGCTTACATCCAGTTACAGGAACATCCCACTCACTCCATAAACACGAAATATTAATATTTAATGGCCTTAGTATTCAAGGGGAAAAAAGCTACTATAAAAACCATACCTCAAAAAATTGTTGCCAGGACCCATGGCTACCCTCACGTAGTGACTGCCCTGCTACATTCTGATTGTGTACAAGCTGATTGCCTATTCCCCTCTAAAATATTTAGAAGCCATAACAATACTTCAATTAGAGATTATCTATTGTTGTCTGAGGAATTCACTTATGGAATCCAGTTTAGTTGCATTTTACATGCAAAGCACGTAAAAACTATTTTTCTTCATCAGATTTAGGAGATGTGACCCACAAAAAAGCACACACAATGAATAAAACCACAGTTATGAAGACAAAATTTTAAACATGTATTATGAAAAATTAGACACCACAGATGGCATAAAATACATGTCCTAAAATTAAGAGGCGGTGGTCACACATTATACTCAAATGAGTAGGCAAAAAGGATAGGAACCCACTACTTACCAGTGGTGGATTCAGGAACCTAAAATTAGTCTGAAAATAGAAAACTCTAACTAGATGGCTTTTCCTCGCAGTGATATTCTTCCTGTAGCACCTAATTCTTCCATCAAGCATCATTGTCTCCAACATATTATTTAAGGGGTTTGTAATTTCCAGTGTCACTCCCTCTCTTGCTCTTATGCAATGCCCTTCTTCTGAGAATTGCAGAGGTTTTTATATAAATATTAAGGTATAAAACATCTATGAATTAGGAATTTCCACTTTTCACAGATGGAGCTGAAACAGAGCTAACATGCCCCAGATTTAAAAATTTTCTGAAGTCATCTTCTCCCAGAAAAGATTACAATAACTCTAATTTGCTTTGGAAAATTACTGTGTCCTAAGTGAACTCTCCTGCAATCTGAAGGCATCTTACTGCAGTAATGTCTAACGCAAAAGAGAAAGTGACTGTTATTTTCGGATTTCGGTGATAGGTGTCATTACGTGTCCAAAAGTGAACACTAATGCCACAGAGGTATCAGTCATGACTCTGTAGCTGCGAGCAAGCTCCATTTCACACCTTAAAAAAATTAATTCAAATCCCGCTATGCTTAAAAACCACATCATATACTCTTCAACCTGAATGACCAACACAGAGTTCTCTAAATATAAGCTTAAATATAAATTCACTGATTTAAGAGTGAATACATCTATACCCAATAAGAAAGGTCTGATTCCTCAGAGCATTGCCGTCAGCCACAGCGTGATTCAGAATGATTTTTGGCAACAGCGGGAAGCAAGTTCTTCTCATCCTGCTGCAGCCCATTTAAAGTTTAAGCACATGTTCTATGAAGCAGCAAGGTGTTAGCGAAGCTTAGAGCAACTGTTTCTAATTGTTGTGATTAGACAGAAGACAAGTAAAATCAGTCCAAGGGCTCATGTGGGAGGCCTTTTTGACAGAGATAAACTTTCCTCCCCAGCTAATTCACGCATGGAAATCCTATTAAGTAGAGCAACACAGAGAAGGGGCTCTCCTCAAAAGTTTTCACTGATAAATCACTTCTCTCCAGCCACCACTGTTCTGTAAAAATCCTACAGCTGGTGACAGGACTCAGGATTTGTCCTCATAAAGCTCCCCGTGGCACTGCTGCCTCCATTACGGTGCAGAAAAAAATCACCTTAGCTGGATAACTGTGATCTGATCACACACAGAGCTTTCAGCTGTCCAGGCAGAGGGACTGGGCCTTTGCTTCTGATTTGGGATGTTTTTTGTGGGTAGGTTTTTTTTTTCGGTTTGGTAATCTCCATACTACTCTTCTGAATCAATAAATCCATTACAAAATAAAAGCATTTTCATCAGCTCACTTCAGCTGCTTTGCCAAAAAAAAAAAAAAAATCCCCTTAATTAGCCAGTATTTTTGGGCTGCTTTGTTATAACAAGCAGAATGGTGAATCTGCCCCCAACTGTTAATAATTAAAAAGTCAGCTAAGGCTGCATATCTTCAAAGTACGAAAAATAATTATGTGACAGAACTGTTATGGGGAATACTAACTTCATATAGCTCAAAGAAGAGAGATAAGAATTCCTGAAGATACATATATAAGGTTGCCTTGCAATGAAGGGGTGTGTGTGTGAGAGGGAAACGGAGAAATGAGATCCTCATCTGGAAAAGACTACACAACTCAGAAAATTTTCTCCAAATATTCTTTAGTGGAATCTGCAGCATTTTACCTAATCTTGGAAACACACAGTCACACAGATAAGACAGTATTTAATGGATCACTGCTGCCTCTGGAAAGGAAGATAAGTTAGCCTTTGGTGCTTGGATATTCGCTTTCTGACAGCTGTTCTTCTTTCTCACAAACTTCCTCTGCCAAGCGAAGATTATTTGGGATTGACAAGTCTGTGCTTCGGAATAAACAAGATCTTTTCTCTGACAGGGCGTTAGAAATGGATGCTTAAGATACAGATAACAGTATAGTCTGTCAGGAGTATTATCTAGCTTGAGGGGGTCTCGGGAGAAAGGTATCGAGTCACACACAAATACCTACATATGCCCCACAGTGTTTATGAACTCTTCCAGAAGATACCAAGAGAAGGAAATCTTTCCCTCATACACTGCAACTCTGATGAGAAAAAAGACAATTCTGCTTCCTACCCTGTGGGAGGGTGGAGACAAAAGAGTAGCAAGAGGAGACAAGACGGTGAGGTCAGAATAGCTGAACCAGTAATCTGGAGAAATTCACACAAAGCAATGCTACAACCTAATGAAAGTAGGAGGTGGTTTGATTTCTTCCAAAAAATACCTATCCCTTTGGGATCATTACCTGCTCTGCAACCAGTAACACCAGCTGCATGTCGCATATCAGGGCTGCCAGCATTCATGCAACCATTATCAATCAACAAACTTGCTACCACATCCATAACTGGAGACGGGGAGAAAGTTACAAACGGTCAAAAATTCCTCAGTGCCACTTTGTGAATCACCAGGGCTTAGGCTGCTGCTCTAAATACAGCCTGTGCTTTATCTGCAGCCCCATATAGTGGGTGATCTCTTCTCTTTAAGCTTTACTGACTCCTAATTCAGGCCACACTTTAAGACCTGTCTAAATTTTAGCACATTTTTTTTAAATGCATGCACGAAAGCAGAAGTCATCCACAACAGCTGCCACTAATTGCAGTTGCTGCCACATATGAGCAATAAAGTGATACCCTGAAGTTCTGGTGCCAGAATATATTCCTTTTATTCCCCAGGGGATGTTCTACAGCAAAATAATCCCAAACCAAACACATTACAAACAAATATATTTACATGTTTATGTGGACAAGCATTTGAAAATGACAGTTCTTCATAAATTTATCCATAAATTACCACTAGTCATTTTCAGGTGTGATGCAACTTAACACACCTGTACTGGCTGTAGGTATCCTTGAAGTCAGAAGAGGTGTTGAATCTTTGTTAAACTTTACTGTTACATACATACTACTATTCACCACTTCAAATTCAAAGGTTGTTGACATTATGTCAGTACAGATTTTCTCTTCAAATACTTGACACCAGCCGAGCCCTGCACTTTTCTTTTACCTGGAGTAATGGATAGCTTGATGTCCCGCAATATTAAAATAGAAGTCAGTTGTATGTTTCATCTCATCAGTATGTCCAGAGACTTCAATCCAGTGTGCTATTGGGAGGCAGTAAACTCCATCTACTATGTTGCTCTCATCATAAACACAACTTCGATCATGATGGGGCCCATTACCTACAACAGAAGAAAGGACAATTGCAAGCTGTATACCTGGAAAACAGCAAGATTTGCAGGAGATGTGAGCTGAGTATTTAAGGCAAGGAGTGGTGTTTGCTGCCTGTTCAGACTCCGTTTCTTGTAACACATTATTAATACCTGAATTAGTTGTAACAGAAGTGCTGCCACAAAGCAAATGCTCAGCATTAAAATCAATTTTTGCAAATTATTTAGAAAACATTAAAGCTGTGTAAGACTCCCAAATCATCAACCGTGGCATCTACAATTTCAAGAATAATTAATTTCATTTAAGTTCCTCATTTGATACCTGATAATATGTGACCTCCCCCTGAGGGGTCCAACTTGCTGTGGCCCGAGCTGTAGCTGTGACACGGCACAGCAGCACCATCTTGCCTCAGGCTCACTTCCCAGGAAAATGCCAAGGTACAAGAAAGACCTCACAGAAGGCACAGGGTACAGGCCGTGCGAGATCAGAAAGGTAAAATCACAAAGGTAGGCCTGGTGACACTGGATTTCTTACCAGCCTAAGGATTCAAGAAGGAAAACACCATGGTGGAAAAGGCATCAAATCCCAAAGAAAAGCAAGCTGGGACCCAGCAGCAATGAAGACCTGTTTCAGGGAGCAGACGAAGGTGGTCCTGCTCCACCTCATCCACAGCTGCCTGGCCAGCAAAGACTCTTCAGGTGTCCTGGCAGGGACAGGACGCACACTGATGCCTAGCCTAAGAGCTCATTAAATCCTACCTGTCTTTTATCTTTTCTAACCAAAACCCAATCGCTTTATACTTTTCAAATGCTTCAGATGCACATCCCACTTACAAGGTCTGCACAAATACAATAAAGCTGCCCAAAGTGACCCAGAAAGACAGGCCAAGTCTGCAGTGCCAAGAGATCACAATTACTGAAAATGCCTTTGTCTAAAGTAAGAAATTTTTCTTACAGTTTTCCATTATTTAATATCCTTTACCCCTTCTTCTCTTACAGCAATTGTGTGAGCTTTAGTACAGAAAACCAATTTTTAACAGCATGCCAGAGTAAGCAATTTGAATTGAACTGGGTCGTGTCATCAATCAAAAGGTTATCTACCCTCCAAAAATTCAATACATATATATCCTCCCCCCTCCATCATTTTTACATACTTATTGTAATACTAATTGCCATGTAGGAACTATTGTGCAGATTAGAAGTGACCTAGTCTATGGCTTGCTTTTAATGTAAACCTGTTACACTTATACATTATTAATTATGTTAGAACATTTCTGAGTAAAATTATGCCCGAAGGAATATCCTCAATTTCACACTGCATGTAAATGCATGACCAGCTTCCAAGCAGCACATTTAGGGAAATTTGCAAGATCAAGAGCATTTTGGGAGATGTATTAATGCAATGATTAGAGAGTAACACTAACATTCAGCAGTAAAGCTCAAACAATCTCCTTATTTCCAGATGACATACAGTACTTTCTATCGTAATTGTGAAATATTGTTTACCAAAAAGAAAATACTAGGCAGGAAACTATTTTCTCTTGCTATATTGCTGAACCATTATGTATCATACGCAATGGTGTGACACAGCTTTTGATAAATAAGGTGAGCAAGATCATTACATAGCTCCTGAAGCTACAAATCCTACCACTGTATTCTTATCTCACTTTTCTAATTGTTTATACATTCTTACTACTTTTAAACAACATTTGAAGACAGCAGTATACATATCATCAAATACAACAGCGTAATGAAACCCACTGGATGTTTATGATGCTTAATTGACTTCATGTATTCAGCAAAATCTTCACAACCACAAAGAAGACACCTTGCCTGTCCCCACGTAGCAATGCACATCACCATGGCCCTGCCCAGCCATTGCCAGGCTGTTCCTGATCCTGACCCCCACCCATGGGCTGACATCCCACCCCACACTCAGCCTGTTCCCATCACAAAGGAGGTGCTTGATGCCTGGGGCTGCCCTGATGCCCCTGGCTGCTGGCTCCTGGCTGACCTGATGCCCCATGGGGTGTCCTGAACCTTTTAGTCCCCAGGGAGCTACCAACCCTCACTGCACCCTGGAAGTTTTGGACCATGTTTGGACCATGGCTCTTTTGCTACTCCCGGCTCGATGCTTCCATGAATGCAGGTGCCCCCTGCTCTTCACCCCTACCAATGTTGTCCTTCTGCCAAGGATCCCCAAAAGAACCTGTCTGTCCCCTTATTGCTGGATGACACCTCATATACACTCTGGCCCCCTCAAGGACTGCCCCTTCCTCCTCCAGCTGTTCCTCCTCTCCCATCAGGGTTTCTGCATCAATTTCTGCCATCACAATGTATGATGTGATGGCAGAAATTCCTGCTTAATTTCTCCTTTGCCCAAGGTGATAGTCAGTCCTACAAGACAACAAAGCCTCACTCTTCTTTGTCTTCACGATCATCTTCACGATCTCAGTTGCGTACCTCCTGCTTCCCCATTTCCAACTGCTGCTGCTTGAGATGCATGTCCTTCTGTCATTCGCCAATTTTACTGTCCATTCTCTTCTCCTGCTTTAATTCTTGGCTCTTTTTCTCCTTCCTTCTCTATCCTCTGCCTTCTTACATGACAGTAACCTCCTTGCCTTGGAACCTTTTTGCTTTCACCATCATTCATTCCCTTCCCAGGCCTGCAACCACAGGAGAAAGCAGGCCTCTATCCTCTGCCTTCTTACATGACAGTAACCTCCTTGCCTTGGAACCTTTTTGCTTTCACCATCATTCATTCCCTTCCCAGGCCTGCAACCACAGGTGAAAGCAGGCCAAGAGTGAATTGCCACAAGACATTTGTTCCATTTGCTCCCTCAAGCAGGTTTTGTCAAATCTCATTCTGAAAAGCTTCCTCCTCTAATTGCTATTTATGGCTGTTGATTTTTCTGCACCACTTGACCTCACTTTCCCGCTGTGGCCTACAGTCAAACAGGAATCTCAAAAGGTATGTTTCCATTTTGGCTGTAATACTCAGGAAAACAATGGCAGCTTGTGCTCCTCACATTTTCCATGAGAATTGCACAGCTCTTTACTACCCTTTGTGTTATAAACTGATCTATGAATCAGCAACCCGCTTATTGAAATACGATGTCTGTGAAACAAAATGTATATGAATATACATTGAATATATATATTCATGTGTGTATATATTTTCATGTATATTGTTGAATATATATTCAATACATACAGTGATATTATTTCAGATGGGAAGGGGAGAGTGCTACAATCTCCAAGAAATACTAATTTAGAAAACAGTATGATCACACTGAACTGTGTTCAGGAAGCTGAATTCTCTATTCCCCTTACAAGAGTTATGAAAGAAGGCAATTACCACAAACGATTACGATCTCGCTACCCAGGTAATATCCAAACGATACACAAGTACTTCTCACCACAGTTTGCTTCACAATATGCATTTAACAAATAAGTTTCAAAAAAAGATAAAATTGCTGTATCAGTTCACATCAAGCTTCTGCTAGCAGTTTGTCACAAGAAAACCATAAAATTTTGAATGCCATAAAACAACAATGCAAGAAAACAGTTTCAGAAGTACTGCCAGGTGACAAGTTTCGAGGAGTAACACAGAATTTACTGATAATTTAGAGCTGCCATAAAAGGCCTGAAGATTGAATTCTCTCAACTTTTAACTTTCCAGAGTCATTTAATACAAAAATAAAAGTCAGCCAATGAAACCAGCTTTCATTCAAGGTAACCGATCATAAACCATGTTTTAAATAGAAAACAATTAGCATCATATACATGTTCTGGGAGAATTTTAACAGCATTTCAGCTTTTCTGTTCCTAGCACCAGTAGTAAAGCAAATAAAATCAAATCTGTTTTCCACTCGCCTGTTCATCTTTGAAGAAAAGAAAACAAGCACCAGTGCCCTTTGAAAAAGGGCAATACACAACAGGAAACACCTGTTTTAACATCCCAAACCATTTCTAAATTAATACTTTTCTTCATCTAATACTTATTCATATTGTTCCTAATGGCAAAACAATGTTTTATTTATTTTTGGGAGGCAAATACACAGTCATTTGAAAACATGTAAAATTCAATCATAAAAAAGGGTTAGTTAAATATCTAAACAGTACTAATCCTCCTGTTAACTGATCATGTGGACCTTCCTAATTAAAGAACGAAGGGAATTTGGAAGAGTTTATTAGAAGATACAGGTTCTAGTTTAACTGGTGGGGTAGCACTCTTTTTCCTTCAGTAAAGTCCAGAATTATTTTATTTAAATTCCATCTTTGTGACTCTTCACAGAATCACATGGGGTTGGAAGGGCCCTCTGGAGATTATCTAGTCCACCCCCCCTGCCAAAGCAGGTCGCACAGGAACTTGTCCAGGCAGGTTTTGAATGTCTCCAGAGAAGGAGACTCCACCACCTCTCTGGGCAGCCTGTTCCAGGGCTTTGCCACCCTCACAGTAAAGAAGTTCCTCCTCATGTTTAGGTGGAACTTCTTATATTCAAGTTTGTGCCCATTTCCTCTTGCCCTTACAGTGGGCACCACTGAAAAAAGACGGGCCCGTCCTCTTAACACCCACTCTTTAGGTATTTATAAGCATTGATTAGATCCCCCCTCAGCCTTCTCTTCCCTTGACTAAAAAGACCCAAGTCCCTCATCCTCTCCTCGTACGGGAGATGCTCCAGGTCCCTAATCATCTTTGTAGCCCTCTGTTGTACCCTCTCCAGCAGTTCCCTGTCCTTCTTGAACTGGGGAGCCCAGAACTGGACAAACAGAACTGGACTCTTCACAGAAAAAAAAAAAAAAACTTACCTGAAAGAGAAACATAAAAATAAGTTTCTAGGCATTACATTATAAAATCCCATTGCTTTTGCATCCCGCTTGTTGCTGTCTCTACTGCAGATGGTTGTGTAGTGGGATCCACTGATGTGGGCAGGAGAAGAACTGCTGGAGAGAAAAATCAACCAGGAGCCCCGTTAACAGCTCAAGCCTCACAGCGGGCTCGCTCCCAG